TTTTCATGTCCGTTAATATTTGTTTTATATAGTTGGATAGACGGGTATTTGTTGATTGTTATGTCTTCCTCTTGGATTGTTCTTTTTACAAGGATAGAGTGACCTTTGTCTCTCTTGATCAGTCTTGGATTGAAATTCACTTTGTCTACAAATAGAATAGCTACTCTTGCCTTTTTCCAGGTTCTTGTTGCATGGAATATTGTTTTCCATCCTTTGACTTTCAGTTTATGAATTTCTTTGTGAATTAACTGTGTTTCTTGCATGTAGCATTTTGTTGGATCTTGTTTCTTCATCCATTCTACCAGTTTGTTTCTTTTGTTTGGTGAAGTGAGACTTTTAACATTGATGATTAAAGCTGATATATATTGACTTATCCTTGTCATGTTATTTTCCTGTTATCTTCCCCCACCCCATTTAATTGCTTGCCTTGCCTGATGGGTCCATTCATTCTGTTGGAGGTCTTGAAGTTGTACTCCTTGTCATCTCTTTCTAGAATGCCCTTCAGAACATTTTGGAGTTCTGGTTGGTGTTCATGAATTTCTTCAGGTGTTTTCGCAGAAGTGTCAATTTTGAAAGATAGTTTTGCAGGGTATATCATCTGGATTTTAGGTTGTTTTCTTGTAGGGCTTGAAATACTTCATTTCAAACTCTCCTTGACTTGAGGGTTTGTGTTGAGAAGTTGACTATGATTCTCATGGTCTTTTCTTTATAGTTGATTTTTTCTTCCTCTAACAGTTTTTAATATTCTGTTCTTGTGTTGAATTTCTGGAATCTTGACTACTATATGCCTTGCTGTGGGTTTTTATGTTTTGATCATGGCTAATTGGAGTTATGTATTCCTTTCTGAACTGTGTGTCAAGTTCTTTTTTCTGTTCTAGGAAATCTTTCTGCCATGACATCTTTGAACAGGATTTTTAAATCGTTCATGCTATCTCTTGCTTTTTCATTGACTCCAGCAGTATTATGTTATTCTTCTTTGCACCATCTAGTAGCTGCTGAATTGATTTCTCATGGTCCCTTGGTAACTGCAAGCCTGTCTTCTTTGTGTGAGATTTTGTCCTCACATTGATTTATTCTGCTACAGATACTTTGAATGGGATTTTTAGTGTCTGGGACATCTGCTTGAGTCTGTTTTATGGATCCCATCTCTTTCTTACGTTGAGCATTCATGTTTTGCATCATTTTCCTTAGCTCCTCCATTTTTTTTTTTATATGTATCTGCTGTAGAGTAACTAAGCATGTTTTTCATTTTGTTCATCATCTCTGTAGTTATCTGAGAAATTGTTTTGATTTTTTTTGTATAGCCTTGTTCATTTGCTTTGTTGTTACCACTTCAGAGAGGCCAGTTGGTGGCTTTCAGATTGTCCCACCTCATTGCCTACTGGAATTGCCTTTTGTGAGCTGGATATCTGGAGTTACATTTTAAGTTTCAAGTGACTTCTCATTTTCTTTTTTTTTTTTTTTAAAGTTTAATTCCTGGGTTGATGCTTGTAAATTGCCTATGGTGAGTAGCTTTATTGCTAATATTTAGAACCCTTAGGAAATGACTACTACTCAGAGGTGTCCTCCAGGTGTGTTTGGTTTTTGGGTTTTGAGTCTCTTGCAGGATCCTAAATCTTCCATTTATTGTGGATGAGAAGTTGCTGCTTGATTGGCTTAGCTCCTGGTTCTTTGGTACTGGCCCACAGCATTTTTTGTGACCTTCAGGCAGTCTCATTCTTAGTATACCAGGAAGAACAACTAGTTAGAATAGTTATGTCACCTTGGCTAAAGTGGTAAATCAGCAATAATAATAGTATCAAACATAACCTAGAGAATGACAAACTGAGGTAACCATTAATTTACCACCTTTAACCATATGAACTAGATTTGTGTTTATATAACATTTGTTACAGGGGCTGGGGATTTAGCTCAGCGGCAAAAGCGCCTGCCTGGCAAGCGCAAGGTCGTGAGTTCGGTTCCCGGTACCGGGGAAAAACAAAAACAAAAACAACAACAATAACATTTGTTACATAATAACAAACCAGAAAATTTCATACAGTAAATAAGCCCTTAGTATGCCAATTTTGCCCTTGGGAGAAAATTTAAAAGGGCCTTGAGAAAAAAATAGAGAAATAAAAGTAGAGGAGGAGATTATAAACAAGGCTGGAGGACAAAGGAGGATCACACCTAGTTTGGGAAACTTGTGCAGAAGACAGGAGGAAAAGAATAAAGAAATAAAAGGAAGAACAGAACAGCAACCACCATAAAACTGGAGGCCATGTTCACACTCAGAAGAACAAGATCAAACAAAAAGAGTGGAAAAGAGTTCCACAGGAAAAAAAAAGAGAGGAAAAAAAATGACTACTTCAAGGTTTTTCTCTGCTGTCACTCATAGTCAGTCTGTGGAGGCAGAGTCCAGATGCATGTTGATTTATCCCCGCAAGCTAGCAATAACTTTACAGAAGGGTAGTGGATAATCTCATTGAACCTGCTCCTGTATTTTCCCTGAAGTTCAGGTGGGTTTTTGGCTGTGGTGCTAGAACCAGACCTGTTCAGCATGCAGCAGTCAGTGTACCTTGTATACATCTGATCCGAGTAAGCACTGACTAATATAGGCCCTATCATGAACATGTTAAAACAACACAAATGTATTATTTTTCAGATCTGGACAGCACAGCTCTGAAATGTGAATCAGTGGGCTAAAATCACAGGGTCAGCAAGGATGTGCCACTCTCTGGAGGCTATGGCTTGCCTCCTCCAAGTTCTGGCGGCTACTTATATACTACAGGCTCCGTATTTATCCTTGCCTCCACTTGAAAGCCAGCAACACTGCTTCTCACTCTTCCTCTGTGAGAACTTCCTTGTAACCACAGACAGGAAAGGCTGTGTCTATTAAGGATTTACGATCTCCATATCTTAAAGTCACACTGCAAAGCCCCTTGGCCATCTGGGAGAACATAGGCGTAAGATGGTTCTGTAGACATCTTTAGAAGCCACGCCTCCACCTGCCACAAACATGCTGAGGGTCTAATGATAAAAGAATTACTCTTTTCTTTCCTAATAATGACTTGAACCCTGCCAATCTATGGGAGAATTAACAGAACCTGTAGCGTCATATTTGGAATTGCCATTCTCTATTGTAATTTTGATGGTTTATTTTTAAATTCTTTTTTGTTTTCACTGGAAAGGAAAAGGTGAGGCACAGTTTTAAACTTTCGAAGTGTACAAGTTGCTTTGTTACAATAAAACTACATATGTACATGAAAAAAGAATTATATAAGATGGTCCACCCCCACACAAGATTTGCAGATTACGAACACTGACTGATCTCAGCTCTGAATGGCTCCCATTACTGGCCACTTTTGTGTAGGGTACATTCTACTGTCATCTACAGTGACTGTAAGGATTTCTAGTCCTTTGTCAAGAAGCTGGAAAGGACATTTTATGCCTGTCTGTGTTCCACATAGATGGCTGTAATCGTCTCTGTTTTGGATGATATTAAGAGTTGAACCTAGGGCCTTTACACCAAGCTATACCCACAGCCTCCTTTTTTATTGTTTTTGTTTTGAGAAAAGGTCTCACTAAGTAGCTGAATTGCCCAGGCTGGGCTTGAACTTGCAGTCCTTGTGCCTCATCTGCCAAGAGTGCTTGGGTCACAGGCCTACACCATTATGCTCATCTTTCCTGTCATAAGAAGAGTCCATGTTTCTTATGAATCTGTCTTGGACTCTTAAAGCTTTTTTTTTTTTTTTTTTTCATACTCTATCTGATGCATGTCTGTCGCCTCTGTTCTTCCCTCCATACCTCCCTCCCACTACTGATATTGATAGAAGACTTTGTAACTGGGGCTTTGTCTTTTGAAATGGAGCTGACTGTGTCATCCACTCAGCATGTGGTTAGACCTGTCATGTGCAGGTGACAAAGGAAAGCACAACACCTATCAGCCTGTGCACACATTGTACCATGTACTTTCATTATATGGTACATATTATGATTTTTGTCTTTAATGGGGGGAGCTGGGAATATCTTTATTATCAACAGCATCAGGCTATAATAAAGAAATATTATGTATGTATAGGAAAATTGAAAATGTGTCTTGTGAGTTATTTATAGCTTTGTTAACAGCTAATTTTTAAAAACTTATGATTTCTTTCATAAACATTTTTAGTAATACCAGCTTCATTTTAAAATTTCTCTTACCATCTAAAAGACAGCACAGTTGGTTGCACTTTGCATGCTCCTCACATAAAGGGCAGCCAGTGGTTCTGTCTCATTCCCACGTGAGTTTTCCACACAACTGCCCTTTTGAAGGGATCTTCCACATCAAGGCAGATGCCAGGCAAGAGACAGTGGTAATGCTTTCCTTCACATAGCCCCATGAGAAATCTCACCTTCCCTGGTGACCTCATTTGAAGGGATTCTTCTGTGAGTCCTGGGAACTTGCACTAGAAGCACTGGATTTGGGTCATTTTATTTTAGGAGTAGTTGGTAGATTGCATATGGATGTATAGACATCAGATAGGACATGGATTAGGCACAATTTCAAGGTTTTCATATACTTTTAATATCACAAAAACATGGCCTTAATTATATGTTTTTGAATGTGTATTTTTGGAAAAAACGATGTTAATGTTTCAGCCTTATACTCTAAAATATAGGCTGCTTGGTTCAGAAAATGTTATTTCCTCTTGGGTTCAGTCCTGAGAAGGTGGTGACCAAAGGGTGGCTGATGTGCTTTTGACAGGTTTGGGGGTCATGCAACAATAGAGATGTATTTTTAAGGTTGTATACCTTGTTTGTCAATAAAGAATTGAGAAGTACATTCTTACTGCTTTCAAAAATTTTCCTTGCTCATAAAAGTGCTATTTGAGAAACAATGAGTCCTATGTAAAATTAAGTAATTTATTTAACTTGATGCTTTTTTACCAAAGATATCTGATAATTAATTAAAAGACACAGGTTTTTTTTTTTTTTTTTTTTCAGTTTGTAACAGTCATTTCTGTGGGGGTATGTTCTAGGGCATCATTCAGAAGATAGTGGACAGTCACAAAGTAAAGCACGTGGCCTGCTATGGATTCCGCCTCAGTCACCTGCGGTCAGAGGAGGTTCACTGGCTTCATGTGGACATGGGTGTCTCCAGTGTGAGGGAGAAGTATGAGCTCGCCCACCCACCAGAGGAGTGGAAGTAAGATGCAAACCCACTGTGACATGACCTCGCTTGATGTGTTGTGCATTTTAAAAACACACACAAGGTGGTGAATGCATATGCTTAATTTTTACATTGCTTGTCATTCTGACCTCTACATAAAGAAAATTGGTGGTGATTATTAACTAGTGATCTCTTTAGCCTCTGCTAAGTCTCCTTTTGGGGTGCCATTAAGTCATCATTCTTTGAGCTGTCTGATTTCATTGTGTTATGATGGTCTTTTGTTAGTCATACTTCTCCATTGCTACTTTGTTCTATATGGAACTCAAGCTTTTATTTTTTACTTTCTGATTCATTGTCATTCTTTCTTGTAGCAGAGCTTGATGTGCCTATGAGGAAACCACACACCTTATTAGTAGGGTACACAGCCTTGTGCTCAGCAATCTATAGCTTGCCTAAAAAGAATAGGTATATATTTGATACACTGTGAGTGTGAGTAGGAATCATGACTCTTACTTGAAACATTAAATGAAGCTAAAATTTCAGTGTAATTAAACGAATTCTTACTACCATACACACAAGAAAAGAATCCCCATAATTGTCCTTTATTCCTTGTTTTCTCCAAGTTACTTTTTTCACCTTTAATTAAATCAGTATGTTGGAAATTGTATATCTTAAATACTTTTGAGAGAAGTATAACTTGTAAAAATGGTCTTCTTCCATATAGGTCCTATTTATAGATAATGCTGTAGAAATAAAGATAATTGTAGACTGAAAAATGGGTAACTTTTAGTCCATAGATCTATAGCAGTTAGAGTAGGTATTTTAAAAGAAAAACAAACATGGTAAGGTGAATAACCTGAAGTGAAATACAATTTTTTTTCTATGTACAGAGTTCATCAGAGAAATACATCAGAGTTATACTTTTAAATTTCTCAAATACCTGGAACTGAACTGATAAAATATTTCTGGGGAATATGATTTGGTTAGTCTAGATCAATGACTAGGGAAGAGTTGACTTCTTACCACTCAGTTAAGCAATTAAAGTAAAGCACGTGGTTAAAAACAAGAATATCTGAAAGTCAGCTAAAAATGCTGGTAGAAAAAAGTTTTAACATTGTTCTTTTATCTTCATTTATATAGACATGTCAGGCAAAATTTGTTCTAATCCTATTCATTTTTCCTTTTGGTACTGGGAATTGATCTCAGGACTCTGTGCTTGCCAAGCAGGTGCTGTGCCACCAAGCTATATCCTTGGCCCTCTAGTCATGTTCTTAATAAAATGTTCAGTGAATCAAATATTTGCATTAACAGTTTATGTTAACGCAATTTTTAATCTTTTTTTCAAGTATAATTAAATAGGAATCCCCATTGATAAAACCATATGTTAGACATAGCTGAGAATTAGTAACCAGGGAGGTAGAACTGAAAAAACCCTTAAAAACATTGCACAAAATAATGAATAGATGGGAAATGCAGAAAAGTTTATATAACATAAAGAATAAGGGGGCCAACCCATTTCTAATACATACTGTAGAAGAAGAGTAAAACGCCTGGAGAGAGGAAAACAATCCCTAGATAATAGATGAGAATATTTTTCAATCAATGAATGACATGAGTCCCATTTAGCAGGTTACAGTAAAATAGCTTATCAGCAAATAAGACAGGCTATTAAGAGGAATCAGAGAAAATTTTTTGCTTTTCAACATCAGTAACAATGGCCAAGAGGATAGTAGAAGAATATGTTCAAAGTAGTGAGAAAAAATAACTGGAAAATTGCTTGCTCAAATTACCATTGAAGAACCTAGTGTTATAGACGTATTTCCCTTTGAATTTGTTGCCAAAGTAAACTAAAAAAAAAGTGCTCTAGGAGAAAGGAAAATAATCTTTTAAAGAGAGTTTCAGATGCAAAAAGGAAAAGATGTAAACATTTATTGGCTTCATAAGACAAAAATAATATGAACTTATTTTCATTTTGAAGAACTCTCATGTAAAATGTAAGAACTCTTACATAAAACAGAGTGTAGCAGCAAGTAATAACCAGAAAAGAAAAAAAGGGTATTATTACCCTGTTGATACCATATGAAAAAAGTTTTAAAAACGTTTTAAGGAACATTATATAGTGTTAGATAGTGTTATATACCAAAAGTATATAGAGGGCAGTTATATATTAATAAAGGCTCTCATTTCATCACAAATTTAGTGAGTATTTTTCACTTGTCTTCCTAGATACAGTACTATTCTGCTTTTCCTCCTGCTTGCATGACCTTCCTGGTGGTTCTTGGTTAGGGTGCTCCTATAAGCTCTTCTTGCTCTGCCTACAGGTCTCCCTAGATCTGCCTTTGACATTAAATTCACACATTTGTTGGGCACAGATTCTCTCATGTTTCAAATAGGACAAAAGAAAACAAAAACTCTGGAAAGTGTCTCTGCAAGGCAAACTTTACTTTTGCAGAAGAGTATAGCTAGAAGAAGCAAGCACAGCAAGTGGGTGTTCTCTCAGTTTTTATTTCTCACCTGCTGTGGCCACTGTGCCTTGCTCCACTGGCGAGAGTGTCACCTCACCATCTAATGCGATTGGCTAGTTTAATGTGATCATGGTTGATAAGCAGAGTGAGTTCTGTCATCTGGAAAGCTCTCTGTTACAAAGTTTTATGGCAGGTAGAAGGCAAGTAGCCCTTTGTCTCAAGTTTTTACAGAATGGTGAAACAAGCATGTGTACATTTTACAAAAAAGATTATACAAAAATAGGGGTTCTTTAAAATAGAACTATTTTAATTATCTCTTTTTTTTGACAGAAAGACTGCATTTTTCCACACAATTTAATTGGATGGACACAGAGAAAATAAGTTACTGCAGTCACCCATGCAAAAATCCTAAAATTTTTTCGTGCTTAATAGGGGAAGTGTAATAGAATAGCACAAAGCTGTTGGTTAGTGCTGGATTTTATTTTTTTTCTTTTTTCCAATCTTTATTTTTTTATTTGAAAGAGAAAAGAAAACAACAACAACCAAGACAAAAACAAAACAACACAAAAACAATAAAAACTACTGAAATTCAAAACGAGGTGATAGGAAGTTAACAGTGGTTGTTATATTACATATTGTTGTCTTCAGCCAAGTTGCTCAGATAACCAGATGTAAGAATGCAAGATTGATCAAACAATTAAAGAGAATAAAAAATAATAGAAACATTAGAATTGTTACAGAGTTTCACTAATTTGGGGAATATGGTTTGATAGTAGGGATAGTAGATAGTAGGGATTCAGCAATGGTTGTTATATTGCATATTGTTGTCTTCAAATCAGGTGTTCAGATTGCCAGATATAATCATGCAAAATTGGTCAGAAAAAGAAAAATTTAACCATTAATTGTTCCTTTCAATAAACCAATAGACATCAGTAGTTACAGTTATCCCAGCTATCCTTGTATATCCATATATATTTTATCTCCCTTCCTTCCTTCCTTCCTCCTTTCCCTCATCCCAGTTGTTCCTTTCCTTTGAGCAACTTCTTTCCCTTTCATATATCTATTGTACCTTTTGGGTTTTATTTATTTTTTTCAGGCTCTTACACTAGGGAGACAATATCATGTTTACACATACAGGTCTGATTTATTTCACTTACGAGTATGGTCTCTAGTTGCATCCATTTTCTTATAGGAATTGAAAACATCATACCACAGCAATATATATGCACCCATGTTTACAGGAGTGCAATTTGTCATAGCAAAGTCTTTGAAACAACCTAAATGCACATCAGCTGAGGAGTGGATAAAAAAGATGTGGTATTTTTATACAATGGAGTATTACTCAGATATAAAAAAAGATAAATGAAGTTTTTATAGTGCTGAATTTGAGAGTATAAGGCATCCAGTTAAATGTATGAGTAATTTCTATGTAGAAACTTCCAATAGCTTCTGATTGCACTGGGCCAAAATTCCAGAGGTTCTGTTCCCATGCAGTCCTCTTTCCTCCTGTTGTTGCTCTCCTTCCCCATTCTAGTGATACTGGTTCCTTTGAAGTTTCAGTTTCCCTTAACTTTTTAATGTAGTTTAGAATTGTTTGATAAATACTCAAATTGGAGACTGATTAGATAGTTTCTTCTCTCTTGCTAGCTTTGTTAATTGGTAAATTGGATATACCTCCAATCTTACCTTTAGCTTCCTTTGTTTTACCTCCCTTTTTGCTTTTGTCTCTTAACAACTTTGCACTTAAAATAGCTGTGATGCCCTGACTTTCTTACTGGCTTTTGGGCATGGCTTGTTCGTGTGACTCTGCTGGGCATTTTTTTTTTAAACCTTTCTGACCTTGTTGGGCTCTCCCCTTATTCAGGGTGAGGGCTCAACTTTTGTGGCTTCCGTGGCCTTATATGTTTGTTTGTTGTTACTCTTTGGGGACTTTGACTTATTCATTTTTCTATTTTTATTTCAAATCATGCCTTGTATAAAATAGGCATACAGTAGAAATACTTAGGTAAAAATTGACTAAGTTGATGTATTGATAATTGTAAAATAAATCAAAAGTGAAAATAATGTGATTATGTATAACTTTGTATTTCAGCTAGTAACCAAACAGTATTAGTTTAAGTTAATAAATATAAATTTGCTTGTTTTTATTCATTCATATTTTCTGATAAATGTGTTTAAGCCATAAATAGCAATTTTGATCTTGCTTGGTGTGTGTTCTATAATTTTTATAGTGTATTCATTATCAATCTACATTTTGTAATTGCTTCCAAGACTTCCTTCTTCAACCAGACATATACTGTTTAGCTTTCAGATATGTGTGTATTTTTTAAAAAGAGATTACTGGCTATTGGTTTTTAAAATTGCAGTATAAGAAGAACAACGTTTTTATGATGTTAATTTTTTAGCCCTATTGAAATGATTCTTTGTGCCTTAGTACTTGGTGTTTTTATCCTTTTTGAAAAGAACATATGTTCTCTTTGTAAATATAAAGGGCATGTATTTGTGTGGATTTTTTTCAAGCTTCTTGTTACAGTATTTAAAGGTTATGGTGTTTGTATTTTGTCTGCTTGA